TCATATTAAAGTTAATTTAAACTCCAAAAATCCAGTACATAATTTAAACGCTAAGTAACAAAATAGAAGATAAAAATCATAATAATCAAACTCACATATTTATATCATACTAGAAGTCATTCTCATTTTAATCATACAAAATTATGCAATTACAAAAAAACAAGTTTTATAATATATTTAATTCATATGTACGTTATATACATTGAAAGTTAAAAAAGAGTAGAGCACAACAATTAAGCAATTGACAACAACATGAAATAAGACAAACAAGTGAACAACACAAATTTTTTTTACAATTAAATTAATATTCAGAAAGAAATTTTGGAGTTATCCTTGTTTAATCTTATAGTTAACGATTTCAGATAAAAAAATATTAGAAACTGACGATAGCGAAAAGACTCTTCAATTATCACGTAGCCATCTTCTCTCTTGTTTCTTTACTAATTAGGGTTTAAAGTTTATATTAATAATTAGGTAAGTTGGGCCACAAAACAAATAAATCTTTAAAAGCCCAATAGAATAGTTAAGTTATTCATCTTCTTTTTGTATAAGAAGTTACGGCCACCATTGTCGGTAACGCTTCCAGTAAACACCCATCGACGCTTCCATCGCTGAATCGTACGATTCCATCGCGCTTCCAAACGCCTTTTTCTGGAGTCGTGATTCCAAGACGATTTTGAGCATTCCAAGCGATTTCGTTTCCGGTTCTACTTCCGGAGCGAAAAACACACCACCACCGGCGATTCCGTGCTTCCTAGACAGAGAAGACATAAGTCATAAAAGAAACAAATGATACATACATATAGTTTGATAAAAAAAACAAAAATTTACATACGTAATAAAAATGTTAATTAAAATAAATAAAAGGATGAATGATAAACAAATGAAGCTATAGAAATTGGGAAAAAAAAACATAAGGTTATAGAAACTTCAGTTTAAAATTTTAAGATATACACAACCATACAAAAATAAATAATAAAAAATCTATAAATAGATTTATTTTATCAATTTAGTGTTATAGAATATCACAAAGAATATATAATATACGTCATTGGTACTCTCCAATTGTATATATTAAAAATTTATATAAGTTCAAAAATAATAATATTATATTTACTCTTAAGTTAATAGTATATAAGGTTTGGCGAGTATAAATCTTTATATGAAATACAATTATCAATCATATACTTATGTGATGGTTCACAACAATATTTATAGTTTTTATGAGATTATTAACATAAAATTTACTCATTTATGATTTAACTATATAAAATTTTAGTAATTGTGTTTATGTTTCTACCACATAATTCATAAATATTCATAATGGGTAAAAACATATATTTTTTTTGTTATTAAGAATATGATTTAAATTCTGATTATATATATATTTTTGGATACGCATGATATGAGTTAGGACATGAGAATTATGTTATAAATTGACTTCTATTGGTTTTATGATTCATGTTAAATAGTATTTTAAATTCCAACAGGTTAC